ATATAAAAATATATATATAAATAAACTATTACTATGATATATAAATGCATTGATTTAACTGAAGATGATGCTCAGAGAGATATTAATCAAAATACACATTTCAAATAATTTCAAACTTAAAAATTTTAAATTTAACTAAATCTTATCTGAAAAGTTAAGTTGAAATGAATAGAAAACTGAGTTTCTTTTGAAATAAAAATGATTTTAAAAAAATTATCCTAAATTTGCACTGAAATATAATGAAATACTATATAGCAACAACAAATATATTATTTTTATATATCACAAAATTAATTTAAATAATAATTTTCTTATCACATTTTAAAAGAAATCAAAACTTTGTACCATATTTTCAAAAACAGAAAATTCATTTTTAAGGTTTAATTTATTTTAACTTCAAGATTATTGTTATACAGTAAAACCTGTGTAAACCAGAATCATGCAATACCAAATTTTTTCTTCTTATTTGGAAGGCTTCCTATTTTGAACAGGTTTTGATATTTTTCCTTTCTTTTTTTAATCTTTAAACTACACCAGATAAATGCCACAGTTACATCATATATATGTATGTCTTTTTTTATTAAAAAAACCACTTTTACACACAGTATGTAAAAAATTTTATTACTATGATCAATCAATTCAAATTAATTCAATATGATTCCAACTAAAGATGAGAGTATTTGAATGCAATTTTTGCATTTCAAATACTTTCATTTTTAGTTGGAATCATATTGAATTAATTTGAATAACAACTTGCACTAGGTACTTGAATATTATTTGGATGCAGCTCTTATGCTTATATGTCAGCAAACAAGCTAATTCAAATGCCAAAAATTAATGTCTTACTCTGTTGTCAAAAATTCTAGTTGTATTACAGTGATACAGTGACCAGGTTATTCTGTTATCTGGCTTTATAAGAAATTTTAATACTCTAATTAATCATCTAGTATTTAGTGTTCAAGAACATTGTTGATAATTATAGGGATTGAACCCTATAATTATCAACAATGTTCTTGAATACTAAGTGTTAGTTAATTACTAACTACTCCATACAAGTTGGCTGCATAAGTATTCTTATTTTCACTGTTTTTTCAAATTACATTCATTTCGTCTTCTTAAAAAATTGCTTCTTGAAAGTTTTCAATTATTAAAAATATTTGAATGCGATGACTGAGCAGTTAAGGTGTCAGTCCACCCCTTTGGGAAACCTAGAAAGAAATCTGAATGGGTCAAAAAACCATATAAATTTCTCAGTAGTGGTCCATCCCAGTTATGTTAGGTTCTGTTCCTCATCACCTGATCATATCATTGTGGGTTTGGCTAAATCCACAATGGACATGTTAAAAAAACCCTCTTTTTGTCTATAAGGAAAAAAGTCAAAGTATTTGATTCTCTCCTGGTTAATTCCAACAAAAACTGTGTCTGAGTGTCCCCTTGTCAAGTGACTTTCATTTCTTTAAAAGGTTTGAAATAGTCCTCAGAATACAAACACAATTTGTTATGTCCTTCAATGACCCCTACACATGGAAACATTTTACTTATTTGTCTACAAGGGAAATCTAATTTTCTGCTCCTTCCAGGTTAAATTACATTCTTTGTACCTAAAACATTTTTATTTCTGTTGGACAATTTCCTAGCTTATAATAAGATTTAACATAAAAATTGCAATGTTCCTAAGAATTTTTCTGTTTAGACAGGCTTCCATTTTATTCAGGTTTTGTTTTAGACAGGTTTTACTGTAAAATGTAATTATAATTTCTTAAAATTTTACATCAGATAATTCTGAAGTGTTTATTAAATACTATATATTTAGATTAGAAAGTTTACCTGAGGTAATGCTTGTGGATTTTTAACAATTACCGTTTCCCTATTCTTCATTGTATATTCCGAGAGAGTTGGACTGTTTGGCCTTGAACAATTTTGGGAATGAGGCACTTCTAATTTTTTCTCTAATAATGACTTAATAACCTGAGCCATTGATGATGACTGAGATAAAAATGGAACAGGTTGTTGAGAAATAAATTGGGAAGATTCCATTGGTACAGTTTTTGTGTGATGCAGCAATGGCACTTTAGACTGAGTTGTAAAAACACTGTCAGATGAGTTGAGAACAGAATTTACATTTTTTTGTGATTGAGTCAAAACACTAATTGCTACTTCTTTATTTGCATTACTAGTAGTTAAAATAACTGGTGAACTGTTATCTGAACTATTTACAATTCCAAATGGCAATAAAATCACGGATTTTTGATGTTTGTTTTTAGTTTCTTCAGGTACCACAGTATTACAAAACTGAGTTTGTGATAATTTTGCATACTGATGGAAGGATAACACTGTTTGTGGCATATAAGATGGTGATGAATAATTTACTGTTGACACATCAGTTTTGATTAAATTTGTTTTTGACACTGAATTGGTATTTGCTATGGTATTCGCAACATAGGGCACAGATTTTCCATTTGATAAATGCAACTGTAACTTTTTAACAGTATCTTGCAATGTAGATGATTCAGAATAATTAACAGAATTTCCATTACTATTTATAAATGAATTCTGAATCTCTTTATCAATTAGATTTCCTAATCTAAATTCCATCACTGAAGATTTTGTATTTTTATTATCGTGAGACGGCGTATTACATTTCATTTCAGAAGAATTCAACTTATTCAAAATTGATTTCTCACACAACCACATATCTGAAACGGTTTTAAATTTTGATATATCACGTGATTTTGGGAATTTTTGCAAAGAATTACTCTTTCCCAATAATGAACTTGAACACTTAACTTTTTTTGATCTTCCAGTCTCATTCAATTTCTTTTTATGCTTCTTCTCTTTAACTTTATCAGCAGCAGTTTTACATTTATCTAATTTCAATCTCTTTTTTCTCTTTGGTTTCAAATTAATATCATTGTCAAGTTTGGTCTTTTGTTTTTCTTTTTCTTGATCAATTTCACTTTCACATTTCTGTTTACTTCCTTTTTTCTCTTTTTTATTTTGAATATGTGAAATTGGATGTCTTTTTGAAACAGTAGTATTTGCAATAGCTTCTGTTTTATATTTTCTCCTCCCATCTCTAAAAAATAAAATTAAACATTAATTTATTTTCTACAGAAAATTAGATATTAACTGTTTTTAATGTTATTAGCTGTTATTCAAAATTAATAAAATAAAAATTTCTTTAATTTTAAAGTTATTTAATTGTCTTTCAAATGTGAAGATTCATTAACAATGATTTTTTTGTTCATTCAAAACAACAAATCATTGTTAATAAACCTTCAAACGTATCTGCTATTAAGAAATAAAATTATAAAAGTCCTACATTTTTAGGTTAAAACAAATCTCTTCTACTCTTACAACTGTAACTTGTAAAATTTAATATAGTAAAATCTTGGTAATCCAACACATATGGGCTAGGAATAGTGATGGATTAAGGAGATCATTGGATTTTTGAAAGGATGGTGAATTCAATGGTTTAATCATTAGGAAAGAAAACATTGTTTATTTGTATGATATTAGTAAATCATCAATCCTTTTAAAATTATTTTCAATTGCATTTTGACATCCAAACATTCTTGAATGACAAAACATCCGACCTTACTGGAGATATGACATATGACCTCCCTTTATCTCATCACCCTGTTGACCTTTATCTACCAAAATTTAATAGAGTGAATCCTCCCTAATACATAAACCTCCCTGCAAAATTTCAGAAATTTTCAACAAAATACAAGAGTTATTAAGATTCAAAGAGGGTGACAAAATTGTGCTCCCACACAAAAAACCTCCTGAATTTTTTTTACATTTCTTGACGTTTCAAGGCCCAGAGTCCAAAAATATAAAAATCTTCAGAGGACAAGTTTTTTCACCAATTGCTACACCTTCCTTCTGTTATGTATAACAGAGCAGGAAAAGTAAAAATTAGTGTGTGTGTACACACACAAACATATATACACACACTATAGAAACCATAGATATAAAATATAAAAGAACAAGTAAATTATTCTAAACAAAAGAGAAAATTCATCATATGACCAATAGAATAACTAATATCTCAAACCTTAATAAAAGCATTAAAAAATTGCTAATAAAGAGTAAATTGTGTGAAGTAGTTTGCTATTTAGAAATGACTGCTCCCTATAAAATTTTATTTCAAATTAAAAGCATAAAATAAGTGTTTTTTAATATCATAAAACAGCAAATATAATTAAAAGTATAATAATTAGGAAACAATTACAAAAATAATAGTAGCAAGTCAATTCTGATTTTTTCTGCATGCCATTCTCTTATCTAAAACAAATTTGAACTTTTCTACTACTGGGAAGAATGATCCATTTCCCACCACTAAAGCATAGCCTTATGGGTAAAAACAATTTCACATTCATAGGAAGAAGAAATTTTCAGAGTTTAAAGAGTTAAGATTAAGTATTTATAACAGCATTGTTCCCTGTTGTTTTGACCATTATGAACAGTCAATTTAGTTAATCTTCTAACTGCTTTTTATTTTTTATATTTTTTTGAATTATTCTCCTGATATAATCATTAAATTTTACCACAAAGCAAGCTATTTATCTTAATTAACCCTAATCTATATATAAATTTAAAGAGAGACTATAACACTTAGTTTGAATAAATGGTTAGGGCTAAAAGTATGGTTCAGATATCAAATTAAAGCTCTTATGCTGTAAATGATGCTGTTAAAGAAAGATTTGAGAAATGTGCAATGGTTCAGATGTGGTGGAGTAGCAAGAATACAATGTTAAGTCTATGGAAAGGCAAGCCACAAACATGTCAGCCATACTTGTTCACCATCTAGCAATTTAGTTTTTCTTAACTATTTGAACAACCTGTTATTCACCATTACTGTGAATTCCTGCTTTGTTTGCTAAGTACACATTAATTAAAAAACATTTTTCATTTTTTTCAATAAATTAGTTTTGTCGATATTGACCACAGCACCATCTATCAACTTTTAGCATCAATCTCTGTTTTTATTTTACTATTACTTCATGATAAGACCAAAATACAATTCTAACCATCCAATTCATTATTTAATGCTAATTGATGGATTTCTTAACTATTCTTCTTTTAGTTAGTAGATTTAACTTGAACGTATGACTATTGGTAGGTAGAGTTTTATAACAGCCAATAAGATTGCCATGAAGTGGGCAGGCCAACTATCCTCACTGTTAATTCAAAATCCCACAATTTGATGTTGGTTGCCCTTAGGAATGCCATAAGCAAAATTAAAATTAGCTATTGAGAGGAGCCTCACTGTACCAGAAAACAGGTAGACAAATCACTTGCAAACAGCCCAAAAAAAAAAAAAACACTTGCTGTACTGACAATTTTTATGTAGAATGCTAAATTTTAAATGAGCTTATTGTATTTTAATTGAATAAAACCATTAATTTTGATTGGTTCCTGCTAGTTGTTAGTTAAATCCACAATGAATGCAACAGGTGTTAACCAATAATTCTTTTATTTTTAAAATAGTTGCATTATAGCTCTTATCAATATTCATTATCCATAATGTGTTTTCATTTGAAATTTTTTGTTGATGTATTTTTCAAAAAATTTTTATGGAAATTAAACCATCTATCTCTAAAGTAATTCTAGCTTCTAATAAAAAATCACAATGAAATTCAAAACTTGTAGTGGCATATTCTGACGCAGTGTTGAATGTTTCATTTATGAATAAACTTTTCATCTGCTCTGGTCTCAAGTTCTAAATTCCTTGTTCTTCTTATGAGTTTGACTTTACACAAGCCTTTTCATCAGTTTCTCTTCAACTTGAATTCACTTCTTGCAATAAGCTAAATACTGAAACAGTTCCATCTGTATCTAACAGTTCCATCTTTCTTTAACAGCACCAAATATGAGTCTCCCTATAATTCTTTAGTTAACTTTTGAAGCTTTAATTTCTTTACTTTGCTTATAGTTTCATTTTTATATAGCAAGACTGCACAATTAAACTACAGTCACCTACATGGGAAGCACACTTAATGAGAGAGAAACATTAATATGTTGCCAGATTGAAAGGTTTCTCTCAATCTACAGATATTTTGGATGTTAGTGATTTTAGACATTTTTTTTATTCATTAATAAATAAATTATTAATTATCTATAAGTAAATATTCATTCTAGGTGAATAAACTAAACTTTGCATTTAAAGACATAAAATGTGGCCTGAACATAACTTGTTTTCAAAATATGTGAAACTAACTCCCATAAAACCCACCAAAAATATGTCCAACATTCCAGTTGCATGAAACTTATAATTTGCCTACAATATATACAAATGTTATTTAGTGTGCCTACATGTAAAATTCCTGTCTACTCATAATTAATGTAATAAGTGAAACAGAAATACATACAATTATATTTGTTAATTTCAAGATGAATAACAACAAATATGAATAAACAATGTTCTCATTTCCAATGTATTTTTAATTGGTTTAATTTAATTAAAATAATATTAAAAATTATTTTTAATAAATAATTATTACAGCAGAGTTCCAATTATATAAGATAAGGTAAATATCGAGGATATCTCAGGTAATTGAAAAAACTGATAATACTGAAATTTTGGTAAATTATTACATAAACTGGATTTGAATACATTGAAATATTGATGACATACTCTATACTTCTATATTTAATGCTAGAATTATAGAATATATCTAATTCTAGAATAAAGAATTAAATACATATTTGGTTAAAATATATGGCCAGGACGAATTAATCATTACAAAAAATCTTTAAAATGATCCTTTTAAGACAATACAGTACATACAAATGTGTCTTTATTCCAATCCAGTCCTTTCAAATGCACATTTGAGGAATTAACAATTTTACGGCAGAGTCGACCTTTCTTTATAGGCTGCTTGTCTCCCTCTAAATGTCAGTTAAAATATCTTATTTTAAGGGACTGGAAAGGACTGGAATTGGAATACAGACAAATTTGTATGTATTGTCTTAGAAGAATCTTTTTAAAGATTTTTTGTAATAATTAAATATATAATTCTGTATTTATTGAACATTTATGAAACATTTATTTACAGAAGTATTTATTAACGCAAATCTATATATACAATGACGATTAAAATTTCTTTAATATTTTTGAAAATTTGCATTGTTGTAAAAAGTCAGCATAATAAATTTTTATTTAAATATCTAGAGTCCTTTGTGAATACCAAGCACTCCCTAGTCAAGTAAAAAAATTGTACTGTGCTACATTACAAAAAACTCTTTTGCAATTCACCTTGCATAATGCAGAACATCAATTAAATGGGTCTGAGTTAAATGAAACCCTATTGTATTATGCTTTTTCTTTACTATATTATACTGTAAATATGTACAATATGATATGCACAAAAAAATATATATATATATACACACACACACACACACACGTAAACTTACTTTTCATCAGATTCAATTTTCACAGGAGGAGGAGCAGCTGAACACCGAGAAGGGTATTCAGGATGAGATCCAATATCTTTACCTTGTTTCCACATTTCATATCGATCTGGCTGAAAAGTTCTAACAAAAACATCCATGCTAATTTTAACACAATCTTTCCTGCACATGCACTGTAATAAAGAAATAAATAAACAGTATTAATCCATTAAAAAGCCTATAGTTTATGATTAGAGAAATATTTTTAACAACAAATACATAATTTTTAAAAAATAAACAATTTTTTAATACATTTTATAAACAGAATTCAATATCTGAAATTCTTTTATTAATATAATATCCTTTCATTATTAATTGTATCATTCTTCATTTATATTATTCACATCCACATTATAGTAATGTTTTAAAATACAATAAAAATTTATTATATTACAATTAGATAGCTCACTAGTTCAATTAATGTTAACTCACTTAAAATTAAAATTTTTAAAATTTTTTAAAAAGCAGGCAAATTTATAAAACAAAAATTAATGAAATTACTAAAATAATTAAAATAAATTTAAATTAGATTATCTTTTGTATGAAACAACACTAAAACAATTTCAATAGTTACATCACAAAATAAAAAAGAGTTGCAATTAATTTAATAAACTGTAATTAACAGTTCAAAAAATTCAGGCNAACATTTCACTTTGTATAAAAAAAAATAGCATTTCAATTTAAGAGTAAGTCAGTATTCAAAGCATCAAACCATTAAAAAAAAACTAAATTTTGAAAAGTCATTTGGCATAATTAAAATATTGTCTGGTAAAGAGAATATTTAATCATGGAATAGAAGCAAACAATTGTTTCATTCTCAAATTAATTTTTCTGTGTTCTTCTTGTTGACAATATTGAATATCCACATTAAAATGTATGAATATATATTTGAAAAATTGTTTCAAAGTATATTACCTACGAGAAAACTTCCCAAAAGCAATTTCTAGTTATGTCACAAAAGAAAAAAAGAGAGTTGTAACTAATTAAAAAATTGTAAAGATTCAAAAAATGCAGGCAAAAATATATAAATAAATAGTAATTAAAAATAATTATAAAACAAACTAATTAATTTAGTTTTTATAATTAACACTAAATATATTAACTTAAAAGTAATAATTAATGATGATAAAATAATTAAAATCAAATCAATTGAAAATTAAAATGTTCTTAAAAACTATTTAAAAATTGTTTTGAAATTTTTAAAACGTAAATCAAATTAATTTTTAAATTTATGTGATTTGTGTGTGGAGGTGACAAAACATTTTGTTTCTAATATATATACATATAAAAATTATTACAAATATAAAAACTAAATCTGTATATGTGTATTCTTTATATAAATAACCAAAGACTGTTATTCAAAAATAAAACTTAAAAAATAGTTGCTACAGAAGCAAATGAATAACCATGTCTTGAAGTGCGAGTCAAAAGTGAAGTCTTTTTGTCTCTCTTATCCCTACACAAATTCCTTCCCTCCCTTTTGTTAATATATATACAGATGATTACAATAATGAAAAAAATTCAAGAAAATTACTTACTTTCTCAAAAACAAAAAAAATCTTTATAAAAACCACATAAAAACTGCTATAAATTTACACTAAAAATATAAGCCAAATGTCAATAACAACAAATGTAAAATAAAAAAATTTCTAATGATAAACCTATAAACCCATTAAGATAAAAAATAAAATAAAAACATAACAAAACAAATATTCTAATTAAAAAACTGAATATCTGTTTTGTATATTCCACATCAAGCCAAATTTCATAACTAATAATTTGAAAATCACTAAAACATTCATAAAGCACTAATTTGAGAAATCTTAAAGCAAAATTTCATCATTGATATTTGACATAAATTTTTAATTATTAACCCGCTAAGGTAAACTTTTAAATTTCTTTAGCAAGAAAAATATTCTTTATGTTATTTGTAATTCAGTCATTTCATTAGTTGTGGCAAAATCACATCAAAAATAATATATCTGTTCTAAACTGATTGAATTACGCTTAAAAATATATCTTAGTTAATTAACTTTTGAACCATTCTGTAATAAAAAAGTTAATTTTTCAGACATTTTTATATTTTTATTAAAAACCTAGCTGTTACCCGCGACTTTGCCCTCAGAGGTTTTGCAAGCAAACCCCATTTATATTCATTATTTCAACAATCATAGTAATTGTTATATAACACCTACTGCCGAGAATGAAGAGAATTGCTGAGAATCGAACTAACTACTTTCAATTTGATCAATTTTCTGGAATGTTTACAATCATTCTATAATTGAATCGATATGCAATAACAAATTCGAATTTAAAAAGGTTCGAACATTTGGTTAAAAAATTGAAATATATAAAAATATTTATAACAATGTCTGAAATGTTATTAATTTAATACACTTAAGNTAATTGAACCAATATGCAATAACAAATTTGAATTTAAAAAGGTTCGAACATTTGGTTAAAAAATTGAAATATATAAAAATATTTATAACAATGTCTGAAATGTTATTAATTTAATACACTTAAGTACTTAATGAAGACTAAACATAACAAAAAATCACATGTAAAATATTTCATTAGAAGCCATTCTTCCAGTTAAGACTTAATGCTCTGCCTCCCCCGCTGGGGAATTTCGAAAAATGCCTTCTAAGTGTGCATTGCCATGGCATACCCTACTAAAACACAGTTATAAACAAAAAATTGCATCTAAAATAGTACATTAGAAGACGTTCTTCCGGTTAAGACTTAATGCTCTCCCCCCTGGGGGGAATTTCGAAAAATCTCTTCTTAGTGTGCGTTTTCATGACGTACCCTAACTGTGTATCAAATTTCACCTCTTTAGGTTCAGCGGTTTGCTCTGGGTGATGATGAATCAGTGAGTCAGTCAGTCAGGACAAGCAATTTTATATATATAGATTAAAAGTAATCCAAGATCTTACAGATTTTGTACAATTATCTTCAGATTAAAGTTTTGATATAATTGTTTTTGTGATTAATTTATCATTTAAGTAAGGAATATAAGCAAATTTTTAAAAATGTAGAAATAATTTGAATCTTTCAATAAATAAAAATACAGTAGAGCGTCGATTTTCCGAAAGTCAATCATCCGAAAGATTTCCAGTCGGCAAATTTAAATTTTCGCCAGTGCTATGGAGCTTCAATCTTTGGCTATGTCTTGGGCTACTCAAATATTTTACGTTTTTGATACTAAATTAACATCTGAAGTATAATTTTTTATTGTTTTTATATTTTTTAATATATTTATTTTGTTTGTACAAAATAAAAAAAATAATTTTTAACGATACAATGGTCTTTGTTGGGCTTAACATCGACGAAAATTCAACGCGAAGCAACACGCAACGGAGAAAAATTTCAACATCGGATACGTTAAACTATTTTTTCGTACATAAATCGGTTATCCGAAATATCAGTTATACGAACAACCCCAGTCCCCAATTGATTCGGAAAATCGACGCTCTACTGTAGTATACATAAATAACTTATATCATAATAATTAAATTTATTAATTTATATAAATAATATAAATTATATTATTTATATAAATTATACAATATATTAAATAAAATATCTAAGGTAATAGGTGTAAAAATTAATTCACCTGTAAAGATCGCTTTCCATATTCAATCCAACGTGGCATTCCAAAATTGGTTGATTCAGCACAATTGAAACCATGATTATAACCAGCATGATATCCATATGGAAATGTAATCATGAATTCTCCAGGTTCTTGAGTTATCTAGATCATTTAGTGTATGATTAGTCATATTTAAAATGTGTCTGTCTATTTTTGGAATATTAAACTTTCAATTATAAAACTTTTCTAAATTAATTAAAACAACACTTAATTATTACCTTATTAAATGGAATGGAGTATTGCTTTAACACTTGAGGAGAAATAAGTGTCATTTTATGTCTCAAAAATGCAGAACATGCTTGGTAACTACCAGGAAAAAATCCTATATGACAAAAAGAGAGTTTATTTATATAAGAAACAAATTGATTCAAAATATGCATTATGAGAGATAATAATAGTGGCATTGTCTGAATTAAAACATATAATTTAAGAAGAAGGAAATCCTCTTTTTGTCAAGTTATTATGGCATTGTAATAAGAAAAATAAATTTTTATTCATTGAACATGTTAATTATTATTAGAATACATGAAAAATTAATTTAAAATATATACATATATTTTCTTGTTGCACTGCATTAATAAATGCTACTATCTAATGAAAATAATAAATGATATTGAAACAATTTAATAATCTAGGCTTTATAATCTCATCATCTAATGTTAAGATACATTTCTAGTCACTACAATTCATAATTTATTAATAATTAAAATAATCACAAATGAGGGTATAAAGATGTTATTGTAACTTAATTTATTAATCTGAGAATTTTTTAATGTAATGTTTTAATTGTCTACATCAAGCATTATATTATTATTGTAAATAATTTTTAAAATTTTATTAGACTTTGTGTTTTCCATCATAAACATAAAAATACGAAATTGTTTACAACATTTTAGCTTTATACATCTGAAAAAGTACAAGAATTTAAGTGCAAAAAGGAATTTTACAGATTTGAATGATTCATTCAAATGTTTATTCAATTATTCAAATCATTCAATTAAATCCATCACTAGTTTTAGAAAAAGATTATCTTTTTAAGAATTGAGAGCTGTCCCAGAAATCAGACTAAAAATAATCTTTTATTTTTAAGGAAAAGGTGATTCTTCAATTATTTCAATTGATTTCAGAATATCTGATGGAAGAAAATGAAAGTCTACATTTCATTTACAAAGATGCTATTTACCTATAAAGTAATTTCAACTAGAGATGAATTCATTCAAATAAAAATAATCAATTATTTGATTATTGAAATCATTCAAAATATCTTGAATGATTCATTCGCCCATTTTTAATACATTATAACATTAAAATAAAGAAAATAATTAGCCAAAAAGTTACAAAATTCCCTTGATCTACAATTAAAATTTTACACCAAAAATTATTTTGACCTTAAAAAGTAAATTTGCCACAATTGGGAAACACTGCTATAGACCAGGAGTGGCCAATTTTTGTGTACATAAGATCTACATTTTATCTTAAAAATGTGTCGTGATCGACTTGTTGTTGTAGGCATAGTCTAAGTGGTGAGGGAAGGTGTGAAATACATACTATGTTTAGATAAGTAAGAAAAGCCACAATTTAATTTAAAACATGAAGAAAAGGTACAAACATTTGTAACAGAAGAAAAATTGAAATTCAACGTTGTCACTTTCAAGGACCACCACTTCACCCTTCCTCTCTCTACCATGTCCCGACCTACTCTCTCTGTCCCTCTTCCCGCCTTTCTTTTTTTCGGTTTTATGACCTTTTGTCTACATTTCTTATTTCCCTTTTACAACTGTATGTAAATGAATTGCACATGGACCAACAAAACCACATCTGCGGAGGTCCGATATCACTACAGTTGCATTTGCACGTTGCATTCGGTTACAAGTATAACACATTAAGTCAAGACATCACAAGCAATCAACCAAAATTGGCTTCGCAATCGACTTATTGGCCACCCCTGCTATAGATAATCAGACAGTTTTACAACATCTTATGCTGTAAAAAATAGTATTAATTATGAAAGTTATTTTAAATATGTCTTGATTTGCTCTCATTGTGGACAATTGCTAACTTTCTGTTCTTAAATCATATTTAATTCAAAATCTATCATCCTACATAAATATTTTGATTAAATTCTTCACAAGATTTTTTTTCTATTGATACTTTACTAAAATTATATCTATAGTTTGCAACATACCTGCAGCCAATCTTTCCAGACGACGTCCATGTTCAGGTGGTATGGCATACCAAGATTTTGGAGCTCCAAAATGTAAATAATTGATACTGTAAAGATCCATATCTTCTGTATGCCAAGCAAATGTTGTCTTCCACATTCCAAAGTATAAATATGCAGTATTAACTCCTTCAATTCGAATACCATATTTTTTATTGACAAGATCCAAGATAGTATTCAGATGATTTATGTTAAAATCCTATTCACAAATTCATATAATTAATTTTATATTAAATTAAACGTTATTACTATATAACAACTGAAATTAGCATTGATAAAATTGTCAGAGAATGAAAGTTTACATTTTGAAAAATTCACAAAAAACTTCAAAAAACAACATATTAAAATGTCCTAACAATATTATTTTCCTGAAATATGAACAAAAAGCAAAACAACATTTTAGTATATTGTCTTTTTAGAAGTTTTTTGTGAATTTTTGTGAATCATACCTATCTGAGACATAGCTGTATGCTGGGTTTTGCAGTAACTGTCCAATTACTGCAAAACCCAGCATACAGCTATGTCCCAGACAGAAATGTAAATGATTACAGTTGTGGTTCAATGTCAGAAAATGCAACCAGAATACTGTTACTCCAGCATCCTATAAGACTCACTGTATTCAAATTTTTCAGTCTATCAGCTATTTAGGAGTCTGAATGCTAGGCATGTATGTAGTCAAAGACATTACACACAGCTGATGGAGTTTGAAAAAGGCTGCATCATCTAACTGTGGAAAGCAGGATGGCCATTTTGCTGAACTGCCTACCATCTGGGCATTCTGACCTGATTGTGAGCAGATACTGGAGCAATTGATATGTGAATGCACATATTAGTAGTGGACAGGACCTGAATGCCTCAGACAGACCACCTGCAGAGATGACCATGAGAAAAATACAAACAGCTGAAGCAGCAGCATTCAGAGACAGATGGAAGTTTTTACAGAACTTTCTCTCTTCCTGTACTTTTGGCAAGTGACTAGCACAGGCAAATTTGCTACACAGTGACTGCTACACATCCTACAATTAGCATCCCATCATTAGCTTTGTTTGTAATTATGCCAGGATACAAGCATGGAATGTTATTGAACGTCAATGTATCATCTTTAGCAATGAATCCTGCTTCTGTTTGGGAACTGACAATCACCATGTTAGAGTGTGGAGATCACTGGTGAGTGCTTCAATTCTGTCTTTACTGTTGAATAGAACACTGCCACCACTGCTGGCATGTTGGTCTGGAAAATCAGCTTGTATGACAGTTGGTCCTCCCTAGAAGATATTGACAGTACAATAGGAAATCCTGCACCTTCATGTGCTGTCTTTTATGGCAGGACTGGAAGCCATTTTCCAGCAAAATAATGCTCAGCCACACATACTACAGCTAGGGTTTTCCAGATGTGTCTCCATCACATTGCCACAATTCCTTGTTCTGTTTGGCCTTCAGATTTATCACCCATCAAGCATTTGTAGGACCAGATGAGACCAGCTTCAGCCATCTATGACTGAGAGATCTGGAGTAGAAGTTGCAACATGTAAACAAATTCATTACAGGATAGCATACGATGCCTGTATGTCTATATTCCTGATTGTATCACACATATATCCAGGCAAGAGTAAGTCCTGCAAAGTATAAAAGATTTCTTAAATTATACCACTGTTCTACAGGAAAGTGTCCTGTTGCCATGATACTGTAGTCACTTATTACCATTGTCATTACATTTGTACTAATAAAGTTTTATTTGATTCCAATGGCTTCTGTTGGTGCATAACTTTTTTCTCAATCAGTATAGTTTTATTATAACAAAAAAAATCTGCTTTATTAGAGCTCACTTATATGGAATAATAATTTCTCTAATACTTTTGGGCATCAAAGTTCCTCAGAAGGATATATATAAATGAATTAGCTTGATAGTTAAATCACCTAAATCTATTCACATAATGTCTGTACAATGTAAGACTGTTGACATCCTATTATGTTTAAGATACTCAACACTTCCCATTCTCCCATATGTACAATATTTATTATGCCTCTAAAAAACTATTTTCATATCATTAAAAAATAATGACTATAACACGGCAAAAAATCACATATGAATCGTGTTTTACTCTTCTATAAAACCCCAACTTGGTTTTTGCACAAGTCTTGAAAGACACAAAAAAAGGGGGGGCATAAAAGAATCACCTTAATTAAGAGCCAGTTCTGACCATTTTATATCTCAAAGTCTTCTCCTCCCAAATCCTTTCCAGGCTATATATCTGGTTACAGAGAAAGTATGAATATACATGCTTTCTTTGCAAATTCTTTCTTTTTCTTATTTTTCAAATATTTTCACACCTTTCCACTCTACCATGTTTTCTTTACTAAAAGATTCTTGACTCAGCATGGTAGTGACTTTTCCATTCTGATATCTCTCTTGTGTTCCTCTAGCTTACCTTGTAGCAATTATTTTGTAGCTCTCACAAAGACTATTAGCCTCTTTATCACCACTTAATAAAAACAACATATACTCCTGCTTTTATATTCTTTTCTCTTCCCTGTGTCATTTCTGACGAAATTAAATAAGATATATAGTTTTCTTAGTGTAATTTTTCATTTTCTCTAGCTTCCTTAGAAAGTTTTTCTCCAACTCCCTACATAATGATAAATTTTATCTTTTTCTTCTTTGTACACATTACCCTTGCTTCCTTTTCTTTTAATCTTCATTAGTTTGCTAAATGATCTCCTAGTTAACTCATGATTGCAAGCTATCTTCTCCAGTATTTCTAATTCCTTATCTAAAAAATCTTTATTGATTAAAAGTTATCAATGACCTAAACACCGTCTACTTATACATTAAACAATCCTTAGAGTCTTAATATGTAAATCAGTGTTGTAAATTGTAAGAGTTCTTCCTGTAAATCAAAATCTTAAGAATATCATCATCTGTATCCAGAAATTCAAAAAAGGCACTTTCGTCCAAAAGTACTAGAGATTATTATTTAATGTGAGCAAGTTCCAGATTTTTATTTTTTTTTTTAAGAAATTGAAGTTACATAAAACACTCAATATCATATTATCTAGCAAAACTGATTTTTTTACTAACATCTTTGATTATTTAAGTAATTTTCATCAGGCTGTAATCAACTGGAAACTAAGTTCTAAAAGAACACAAATTAAACATATAAAAAAAAAAAAAAAAAACTTTTACAGATACAAAAATTAATAATGTTAAAAGATTTATACGTATATTAGAATATTAACAATTTTCAAAAAATATTTCTATAAAACTTTGTATGATTAGGCATGTGTTAATTGGTAGGGAGTGAAGTTAATTCATCCTATGTAGAACAACATGGAATTAAAAAAATTGAAGGTTTTCTTTTTTAGAAATTTATAAGTCCATTAGAAGATCTAGTTGTATCAAATCATCAAAGTGCAAAGAGCATATCCAATGCCAAGAATTCATGTTTTAAAATCCTATAACTTGAATATGGTATTATATTCTGTATGATAAATAATCCCATTTTTCTTTTATTTGGTCAACTTTTGTTTATGTATACTTGCTTTATGTTTGTTTTTAAAAATTTTAATCATACTATTATATTTATACATTCTGCAATTATATTTCTTGAAAATTATTAACATTCTAATTTCTGTTCTAATTATCAATTTTTGTATTTTGTAAAAGCTGTTTCATCATATGTTCAATTTGTATTCTTTTAGAACTTGTAGTTTTCCACCTAACTGTAGCCCAGTGTTTCTCAACTGGGGTGATATCGCCCCCATGTGGGCGTTTTTCCGTGTTGAGGGGGCGATTAGTAACAATTTATATTTTGGGGCGAAAACAATTTTCTGGGCGATATAGTAAAACATTTTATTGAGAATAATTAGATATTTTATTCATTATTTAGTACAATAATTAAACAAATAACATTATACTAGTCACTATTCTATTCAATGCAGTACGAACTGGCATTAGCCTTGGCCATCTGCATCAGAATTTTGAAGTGAAGGGGGCGATGATTCATTAGAGGTTGAGAAACACTGCTGTAGCCTGATAAAGATCATTTAAATGGTTATCAACTTTGGTGATTGGCTATTCTATCCAAATTTTTACTAGATTTGAAATAGAAATGCATTTTGATTTCAATAAAAGATAACATAAGGAGTAAAAGTTGTTTTCTGTGTCTAACCCTTGTGACAAATCTAGTAAAAAAAAATTGGATAGAATAGCCAATCACCAAAATCAATAATGGATTCTACTAGATACAAAGCAAACAATAATATCTTTTAAATGATCAAAAACATTATCAAAAAATCTGTTTTGTCGGATTAATAATAGTGTTGAGTGTTTTACGCTGTTATCCAGTTAGTTCACACACTGTTATCCAGTTAGTTCACACACTGTTATCCAGTTAGTTCATTGTGTTTTTTTTTGAGATTTATAGGTAATGAAAATAACTTCAAACATATAATAAAACTAAGCTATAAAAGTATAATACAGATATTTCTTTTTTAGTCATAAATATTTTATAAAAATTGTTATGTTTAGTAAATGCTACTATTCATTTGTTTTGAATAAATTCATTTTTGATAGCTTTGATCTACATCTGTCCTTTAATATTTTTCTAATTAATCTTTTTAACACTTAGGAAAATAATCTTTATTCTAAATTTTTACTTTTGAAAACCATTATGATATTTCTTCCACCACTGCAATTTTAATGTATTTCATATACATTGGTATCTAAAATCAAAGTGTGGAAGTAATTTTGAATAAAAAAGTAAACAAATTGTTTATTTAGCAAAAATTAATAATATATACACTGAATGTAAAATTTAGTACATTAAATCTATTTCCACATTTCCACAACTGAAATTTGCAAACCTGTTTAACATCATCAAAATTTAGTGGTTAAATTAAGTCAGGAGAAAATGACGTGACGATAATATTTTAAACACAGATATAAAAGAAACAAGAAGAAGAAGAAGACACGGTTTCGACAAATAAATAAAAACAGATATAAAAGTTTTTTGTAAATGAAATTCAATAATAATGATTTTTATATACTCACTTCCATCTGTAAAGACAGAACACTTAAGGAAATTGGAAGTAGATCACACTCAGAGTTTGTAATCACAACATGATTCAAATAAAAAAATCATTTTTAAGTAGAAAATTAAATAAACTACAATATGAAAACGGGACAGTGAATGTGAAAATACCAAAGTAGCTCATAATTAAAAAATTTTTCAATTCAAAACAAAGTTACAAAAATTATCTTCTCAATTAAAAGTATAACTATGTTATTTTTACATTTCAGAAATTCCATTTCAATATTCTTTAGTATAACGAAATTAAATTCTTCAAACTTCCAAACCAATTAAAACTGAAGGATTTGCTCATCAATTTTAATACGCACACTATACTGTTAATTCTTAATTTTAATTATACTTCTAATTTATGTAAAGTTTACATTAAATAGTAAATAGATAATAATGAAAATATTTTTTTTAATAGTAACTTTAACCAATTTATTTTCCAAAAGTGTAAAAAACATATTAAAATGAATTCTGAAGTTTAAACAATTATACACATATAGATATTTTATAAGTTATAGCTTTAAAAATTAAAACCAATATAAATCTCTATAAACAATAATTCCTAAAACTACTACTTTGAGGAGACATCATTAAAAAGAAAAAACAAAATGCACACATCAACTTCAATTCTAAAGTCCAGTAAATATTTATTGGTTTGCCAAAATGCCAGGAGTCTTAAAAAACACTCAGGATTCTGTGTAGTATGTTTTTGATACTTTCTCCATTAAAATAGTTGTTTTAGGAATCTAATAATTTATGCAAAATTTATAACTATGCAAATTATATAAAAAATTTTTTTAATAACCTCAACATCTTCATCATATAATGAACCAGAAATATCAGCACCATATATTGGTGAATTATAAGTAATATTCTTCCAATACTTTCTTTCTAAATCATCATAATCAAAGTGAGGTGGAGTAGCATATCTGCAAATGTTTTATTAAAACATTAGTGATTTTCAATTAATATAAAATTCTGTAATATGAATAACAACCATAAAATATTAATTCCATAATCATTATAGATATAAATATAAAATAAAAATTATATAGAATAAAAATTATTTGATTTGACTTATCACAATTAAATTAAGCAACGATAAAATTAAAACACATTGTAAATGTGAGACCTGAAAGGTCCCTGGGTCTAAATTAATATTTTATTAATAATGTTAAAATATTGTCACCAAATATTACTTCATTTTTGGTGAGAAAAATACTGTTTTAACGTGGAAAAGGCAGATAACAGATGTTACTTCCTTTCACTGAAGTTAGTACATCCTCTGACTTTCCCTTATCTGGTTAAAATCCAGCTCAGATGGGAAATGGTTACCCCTCATTCATTCCCCTTTCATCCGTTCTCATGAAAGAGTTACTGGCCGATGATTGGTCGAAATTCAGAAGATATACAGGGAATTTGTCAGAATTCGGGGAGTTCAGCGACAGTTCTGGAAGCGTCCAAACTCCATACGTTTTCCTCTTGATGACCAACGTCCTTAGACGAGTCACATACAGAATAATTCCAGAGTTAGCACTTAGAAACCATACTTGGATTTTGTGCACATATTGATCTCCCATACGAAGAAGTAAATGAACTTTAACTCCAAAGTGTCCCTTGCATACAGAAAAGACGACGAACGACAACTAAACAGGTCGTATGTTTTATAACGATTTTGTGAGCTCTCTCTCGATCGCGAATAGGGTATAATATAAGCTTAGATATCTCTCGAATTTTATATTATTTGTAGTGGTTCTGTCCCTCGTTCATTAAGATTTTTGTATGAGTTTATTTTCTTGTTTTATTAAATTTATCATTTCGTTTTTAATTAAAATGTCTCCTAATTGTGTGACCGAATCAGATTGCATACGTGTGTTTGTCCGCGGATCGATAAATTGACAAACTGGTGTCGGGACCCTGACATAGGAAGAAGGTGAATTCACCCCCACCAACTTCCGCTCTAAATTAATCTAACAGTAAAGCCCTCCACACTCGTTTCCCTACGTTTGGGAAAGGCCGTTCTTTGGACGACCGAGAACTGGTCTTACCGACTAGTGCCCGTAAGTGGCGTAGACTTTGATATACGCCCCGGTTGATATCACATAATCATCAATTCAAAATATCGCAAAACATGTATTAATATGATGTACAAAAAATATTTGATCTTAAAAAATATTTATTTAAATCATTTTAATAGTTTAAAGTGAATAATTTAAGAATTGTCAAAATGATTATAATTTTTTTTCTAAAATTATTAATGAAGTATAAAACCAATACCTTTCACTTTCAGCTAATTTTTTAAATTCTTGAACAGTCATTGCCTTTTTTTGAATATTATATTGTTGATACATGCCCTGACGACCAGTAACAACTTGAGATATTGGAGCTGGAATAACTAATTCAATATCATCATAACCGCTTCTCCGAGGACACCATTCTTTCGGTGGAATAATCTGTAATTATTTATTTATATTTTTTAAAAAATAAATTTTTAACTATTAATAAAAAAAATATTTGTTAATGATGCAAAAGTAATTGATTTCTCAAATATCATAGTCTGTCCCAAAACTATAGAAGAAAGTTTTTTAAAAATAATCTCAAAGAAAAAATTAGGAATTATTAAGATTATATATTAAATATATTCATCAAATGAAAATAATATAGTGTAAAAACTGAAGATAAAAAAATATTTATCAACAATTTATGTAAATAAGAAATTGTGTTTCAACAGTATCAAACATAAGATTATTATTAGGATTATATTAATAAACAAACTGATTGATTATTAATTAAATCAGGATTAAAACAAATAATTAAATATACATTATAGAAGAAATGGAAGAAGTAGAAGCATCAGGTAAGTTGAAAAGGTCATATACTGAACATTCAAGAATAAACAGCAGCACCATTAAACATTCTGCTAAAATGTACACTACTGTATCGGATCATTCAAATATAATATCATCAATTTTAAGTCCTTTTTGACCACCTATCACCTGCCACATTTTGTCACCAATTTTTAGGCACTCTCATGCTTGATCTGCAGCCCAATATTAAGATTAAGCATTTTCTATAAAACATATCTACAGTACATTTGTTCATTCATATTTCATACCAAGGCAAGGCTAATTTTAACAGGAAATAGAAAAAACAAAAAGTGAAATTCACTAACAAGAACTTATACTGGAATGAATAATTTAAAATAAAAATAAACCTTTAACTATCCAGCAATAAAGATGTTTAATAAGAACGTTTTCAACCGTTTTGAACGGCCATCTTCAGTTGAACCATTCTTAAAAAAGAACATTAAAAAAGAACGCATGAAATACAAATTAAATAGAAACCGAAGTGCGCATGTGCAACTCATCGGATTTGCGTCTTCTGAAAGTCTATAAATAACTTGCAAGTAACATAAAAATAATAAAGCCGCCAGAAAAAAGCGGGGGAGGGAGGAATATAAGTTGACTACAAGGTGTTAATCTGCATTATTGTAAAAGGATTTCCAGGCATAAGATAACCCTTCTGCATCCCTATGATTAATGCATCCCTTATTTATGTGAGCCTTGTGTATCTCTATCTTCTCGAGGTGTTTCACTGCCTGTCTGGAATTCGCGGCTCTAATGATCGAGGCTTGATCCCAATATACTTCGACCTCTTGCTGTTTGGCAAATGCTGTGAGGACTGTGGCATCTATGTTTTTACTCACAGAGTATTTATGTTCCTTGAGTCTTTGTTTTAACTGCCGCATAGTAGCACCTACGTAAACAAGGTCCGAGTTGAAACGCTGATCCTTTATAGGTATGGAATAAACCCCTGGTAAATTATTTCGTTTTTCCTTTCTCTTATCGTTTCTTAACATTCTGTAGATCGTCGGATTACGTCGATATACTATTTGTAGATTATTACCGTTCGCCGGCAAACGGTAATAATCTACAAATTGGATTCAAGATATTTTCTTGGATCAAGAAAGAACTGGTATGCAAAATACACTTATTCCTCAATTAAGGTCTCTCGATAAATACATCAAGAATATATCAAGTAAGATTCAATTGGTTTCTTCTTTGAATTAAATTATGTATGACTATTTGTGTAGAATTTTGTGTTAAATTTATTATCTTTTCCTCTTTACTCTGACTCTTTACTTTATCTTGGTTAACCATGTCAAACTTTCCGCCATTAAAACATCACATGATTGTATTTTTTCGTGTGACTACCAGATGAACTGTTATTGGCTGACAGAAACGCATCTTGGCAGTAGTCACTGCAAAAGATAGAATTCAACCAACTCTTGTGGCACGAGAAAAGCAGCACAAAATCGACTTCTGCGGCAAGAAAAAGTGACGTCATTCTGCCACTTTTCCTTGCCATGCCACATGTGTGCATCCTCCTTAGAGTTAATTTTTCAGGATCTCATATATGGATGAATCAATGAACTAAAAACAATGTTACAAAATGCTTTCAAAATAAAAAAAATCTTCCTTTTACTACAAGATAACTGGTATTACTGATGACGGTTTATAATTACATTTGTTTCCTATACATATTACAGCTTTTGATAAATGGTATCCATTGATACCACACCACACACATTGCTTTCTCCTGCATGGTCACCATTTTGGATCTGGCACTGTGACCACCTAGCAGCAAAACAAGCCATACTAAAACTGTATACATAAAAAACTGAGCTGCTCTATGATTTGATATAGTACAACTTCCTAAATTGTTTGATTTATTTATAATTCATTAATGAAATGTGCTCAATCATTTGTAAACACCCTATATCTATAGTCTATTTATCCTAACTTGGCACCTACTGTAAACAAACTAAGACACACCTCCCATTGTTTATTGGCTTAAACCCACATCCATCAATTATAAACCGCGCTGCATCTCATTCGTCCGCAGAAAATAGTTGTTTGTTATTTATAAAATCATTAATGAAATACTAGTCACTTAGCAATGATTATAAATGTAATTATTTCATACTTGTTAAATTGTTGTTTTAATTAATGAATATTTGCACATTCCGAATCATTAAAAATAAGCTTTTTCCGGTCATGAGCACTATAATGTCTTGGCTTCGTTTTCCATTCATTACAATAACTATCATTATTTCAAACTGTGTGTTGTCGAACAAATAACTCAAGAAAAACGGAGAAAATGTATCAAACATATAGAAAAGGAAGAACAACGAATGTGGGAACTTGATGAGATTTTAACACGTGCAGAGAAAGGAGCTTAACTGGTCAACACGTGTCTAGCCACTTCCAATTGCGATTTGACCAATGAAAATCTCCAGCAGATTAATACGACAAAACCTTTGTTTACAGTAGGTGCCAAGTTACAATAAATAGACTATAAATATTGTGATTTCTGTATGTTGTAGTATCTGAATATAAAATATTCAGATATTACAATATACAGTCACTGGTGGGCAACACACGAACAATATTAGTTTGTTGTGTGTTGAAATCACTGAATACTGGTACAGTTGGTCATAAGGTCATCTTCACTAATGACCATAAATAAAATAAGACAAAATAAAAGAGATTAAGTTATAATTATGAAAAGAAAAATATTCTTTTTCTGGATATGGTATAACAGCAATTATATAAAAGTGAATCCACAAATTTCAATTAACTTTCCTTTCAAATTATCTTAAACATACAATTCTCTGTTTTTCTGAAAATTAAAATATTTCTCTTAAATCCTAATACTTTCAGGCCTTCCAGCTCATCTTCAGGACTGTGGTAGAGCTGTGGAGTTGGTAGACCAAATCCTGACTCCAACATAGAATTTTAGTATGTCCAACTCTTATTCCTTCTTCTAAATAATAATTTAAAATATACTTTGATAAATTAATCCAGAAAGCCATTTCATCATTACTGTGTTAATCATCATTTACTTTTAAAGCACTTTTTTAAAGTGAATCATCAAGTATTCCTATTGAAACTGAAAGCATTTTTCAAGATCATGAAGTAAGTGAATCATCATAAAATAAAATCATGCATTACAAGAGGCTCCTATAATGCAAGATAGGAACTTAATATAAAATACATTTAAAAATTAGGAGTCAGCGTCAGTCTATTTTTACCAACTCTGAATCCTCTAGAAATGAATTTGTTCTGATTCCGATTGCATGACTCTGACTTTAAAGTCCTGTTCAGGAGTATCTCTCAAGATAAGCTAGGAAGTTTACATATCTACAAATTGACCTGGTATACAAAATATAAAATTCACTCCATGTATACACAACTTGGTAAATTTATAATATGCTCATAACCTTACCTTTGCTAGACCAGCTTTATGAGCTCCTTTAGATTCCATATATTCAATATATTTTGGAAAATCCTTCATCTCTTCCAAATTTGGTTGAAAAACCATAATCCGAGGAATACCAGAACTAGTAACATTCGGATAACTCATGATTTCCTTAAATAATAATACATAAGTGATTATATAACAAACCTATATATATATTATAATATATAATAGAAAATATATGTATATTAATTATATTTAAGAATAAATTATTGAATAAATAAAAATTTGTATTATATAAATAAAGCCCTGATATTCATATGTAGATTTGCAAATGAGATTAACAATTTTGTTTAATTTAAGTTAATTTTATTTTTACCCCCAATTCAGCTTTATCATTAGTGTCCTGTAGTTTCAGATAACACTTTGAATATATTGATGACGATGACAATAACAGAGGAAAACAATTATCCATTTAAATGTGAGATCCATTAATATTAACTATACCGAGTGTACAACATCTAAATACATTCTAATCTGGATATCCTTATATTTGAAAGATAGGCACATTAAAACTAAAATTTCAAATCCTTGTGAAGAGAAAGCAATTAAAAGTTTAATCTTGTTAAACTTTAATGAAAACTTTAAATTGAACACAATTTTAATAATTTAGGCATGTGTACTCAAACAATTCCACCATATATTCTGACATTATGTATAATCTTGTTATAATGTATATACAGTAGATAATCACTTTTTTTTTTATAAAATAAAGTTTAAAAGTTATTTATATTTTACAGGACCAGATATCGCAAATCATATAATCTAGATCAGGAATGGGCAACCTGCGGCTCCCGGGTCGCATTAATATTTTTTGCAGCCCTTGTCACACAAAATATGAATAAATATATCAATTTCCCAGCTTAAGGAAGTATGCAGCAAAAATTCAAACATTATTTTCTACAACTTATGTATGTGAATAATTTTTCCCGCAAAGAATGTAGTAAAAATTAAAACAAGAAACAAGCTAACAGACACATCAAAACTAATTTAAAGCTAGCGGTGACTAACATTTAACAAAATAATTTCTGATATATTATGTTTATATCAGTTCCAGAAGCTAAATTAAATATACCTATGCTAATTTATAATTATATATGAATAAATAATTGTGATTTACCGGCATTTTTCTTCTCTTCTCTGTTATACGTTCAAAAGTTTCAAAATGCAGCCCTTACATAGAAAAAGGTTGCCCATCCCTGATCTAGATAATGTAATTTTTTTAGCTTCTGTTTCAATTTTTTCCAGTCAAGAATAAAGAAACCTTCTTCTTAGAATTATATTTAATTATAAGTATAAACATCTATAAATCTGATTTTAGATTAAAACCAAATTATTGCCAAATTACACCAGGCTACATTAATACTACTAATTACTAATTAAATGTCAAGTAATTTGGCCTAGAGGTAGGCATTAGGCACCATCTCTTATTAAATTAAATTTATCAAGCAAGTGCATATCTTTAAGCCAAAATACTTGACATTTAATTAGTAATTAGTAGCATTAATATAGCCAAATGTAATTTGACAATCGTCTGGCTTTATATTTAATTAATTGTTGATAGCTAATCTGTGTGATTTATAAGTTAAATTCTAAGAGAAAGTCTGCTAAAATTATTTTTACTTAATGTTTCAATTGTAAAAATCAAATGTAGAAATGATACAAGTCTATCTGTGAAGTCAATTTAAACCATAAACAGGAATCTCTTATTTTTTCTAAATGGAATTAAGCGAGAGCAGTGATCTGTTGCCAGTGGAAATTGTATTTAATAGATATTTGCAGAAAGCTTGCATATACAGTGGTGCCTCGTATAACGTACGCCTCGAATAATGGACACTACAAACAATGGACTTTCTGTTTGGCCGTTACGTGACTCGAGCAACGGACTGGCTGCGAACAACGGACTTTCCGTTTGGCAGTTACGTGAGGCGAGCAACAAACTTTCTGCGAACAAGTGCGAATGATATTTTCACTCTTTTGCCGTTGCCAATGACAATCTGCTATTTTTATAATATATTAGTGTTATTAGGATATATTATTAGTATATCTGAAGTACAGAGCTCCCGTTGGGATTCGGCTTGCTCCCTTGTTTATTATGTACATCACCTCAGTGCATGGTATTTACATTTATTCAAGTGTTGTGCAAATCATGGGTTCTAAAAAAATAGAAAGGTGATTTCAATTGAAACTATGCAAGAAATCATCAGAAGGAGTGAAAGTTGACAAAAACTTCCTTGTTGAATGGGAGAGGTTCAGGAGTTTACCAACACTCATTATCCAAACAGCTGAGGCCACCAGGATCAATGATCTCTACAATGACATCCTTGCCCGTCATTTCCGACAGCTGTTGAAGAAGAGAGAGAAACAGACCACCTTAGACATGTTTTTCAAGAAGCCAGCAGGCAAAAAACAAAGGATGGAACAAGAGGAGTTGACTCTGCAAGCTCCGGTAGCCTCTCCTGAACCTGACTCTGATTAAAAAATGATAAAAAAAGACCTGCTGCAATGTGTAAAATGTTTGTATCTGTATGAATGTGTAAAGAAGGTGCTCCTCCACCTCCTCCTCACAACATCTGACTACCCGGCATAATTGGTGACTGCTCCATTTTCATTTTTTTAATGGTACAGTATGGTTATTTTATGCTACGGAACAAATTATATGTTTTAACATGTATTTCTATGGGAAAATGCGTTTCGTATAACAGATGTTTCACTTAACGGACGTGCACCTGGAACGGATTAAGTACGTTATACGAGGCACCACTGTAAACAATTATTAACATTCCTAATTGTAAGTACAGAAGAGTTCTGCAAACTCAACTTAACATGGACTGAGAAGGTGACAAATTATGATATAATGAAAATAATGAATTTTACAGCATAACAATGATACTAGTCTAAATAACAACATTTTTGTGTATGTATTAACTACATACCAATAGTGAATACTTCCATTTGTAGTTAAATTTTAATTTAAAAACATTGGCTTTTCAATGGTTACTTTTGAGTTAGTGATATTTGCATTATGGCATTTTGCAATGACATCTTACAAAAAGGGTTATAATCTTTGTTAACAAAATGTGGAACTGACATCAAATGTTACCAGTTACTTGATCCTAATATTAAGCTATTGAAGTAAAAATTAGATTACTTTTTTAATGACATGACGAGCTTTATGGAACATTAATTTAAATTATCAAGAGTCAAGTTTCCAGGACTCCATCACACTACATAATTTTTAACTTTGGTATAATATAAAGAAGGTCATTCTTCTTTAATTGTTTAGAATTTTAATATTCTTTAAAACTTTATGTTCATTCTAATTTTGTTTTCATATTTGAAAATGAATAGAATAGATTCAAAAACTGTTTAAGTCAGTGATAAAGTTGCGAGACTTTAAAAACTATAGAGCAAAGTTTTGTTTGTTTCTAAATTACAGAATCACACCTAAATGCAAAATTTCCAGCAAAGAAACACCCGAATTCAATATTCAAATGTTTTCGGCCACTACTTTATCGGCCCTCTTCAAGAAATGTAAAACAAAAAACCGTTCTATTTATAGAATGCAGCCACATTCTAATTTTAAAAGTTTCAAAAAACGTTCGAATATTGAATTCGGGTGTTTCTTTGCTGGAAATTTTGCATTTAAGTGTGATTCTCTACATGTACAGTACAGTTCCAGTTTTCAGGTAAAGTGGTTGGTTATTGTTTCTAAATTAGTTCCTTGTGTTAACTATAATATGTATTTTGGATTTTATATTTATTAAAAACTTAAAACTGTGAAAATTTTAACTGGAAATGTTCAACACTAATTAATAAGACAACATTAAAAGAAATTATTGGGAGATCTGGAGACATGAATAAAGAAAATTGCATGAACCACAGACACTGCAATTCATTATCTACACCATGAAGATCATATTAAAATAACCCCAAAATATCAATAGAAAGACCAAACAAAGCTATACCATTGTCCCCCATATATTTTTATAAAAAATATTTGTTTGGTTATTAATGTAGAGGAAATATGATAATATTTGTAAAATAATTAATTTTGAATTACATTCCAAAATTTAAATGCTTTTGTGTGTCAAGGAACAGCAGTCAACTTGTGTTAATATGAAATCACTGGAATAGTAGTTAGTTCACTTTATCAGTCATATTAACAATTTTCAGGGTCAAGGTCAAGCCTTAATTCACTACTTAAGTGAATTAAGGCTTGATAGGCAATGGAAATTTCTAAATTATAATATTCTGAATAAGTTTACTAAATAATGTTAAATAAAATAAATTTACAAAAACACAATGTTCTAAATTATTTTCAAATCACTGTATGCACTCCCCAATATGCAACCTAGCATGTGTTTGTATGTGACCACATCAATTTAAATTAAAGGAGAATGTGTCCTTAAACTTTAATCCCTGTATTTTGAATACAGAAGAAATGGTACACTAAAATCAGATGTATGAATTGCTCTATAATCAGAGGTTTGTTATCTTTTTTATTTGTCAGTGATAAATGGTTGTGATTATAGTATTTTGTTAAAGAGGAGTGATGTTAATTAAATTAACTTAATAAACATTTTGCATATTGGAGATCAAACCTGTCTTTGCTTACTAGAAGAAAATCTACTCAAAACAAAACATCTATTACAGTACACTTTTTATTGTTCATGTTGGAAAGTGGTAAAAAACAATCATTATAGGAAATACAATTATTTCTTGAGAGTTGTGAAGGTAATTTACAGTTTGGTTTAATAAATTCTGGTAAAATTTTTGTTTGTTTTATCACGTGAAAATTAACTTTCTGACAATGGTGTTTTGCCACAGCAACAATAAAACTTGCTTTAACATGAGAATTAACTTTACTGGTGTTCATTTTAAGGTGATTTGACTATTATGTTCCTGTGTATGGTTATGTTTCAAAATAGAACAACCATACATACTAAGGAACATGGGTCTAAAGTCGGGGAATGAATCTGCCTGAAAACGTTTTTCTATAATATTAAATATATAAGTTGGAAGAATAACATTGTCTTATTAATTCATGTTTGTATTCGTTATTTTATATTTGGATATATTTCCTAAAGGAATTAAGATTACAGCCATGT